ATCGGGAAAACCCCCATAGGGGGGAAGTGGGGGGGAAAATCAAAAAAATAAAACAAACTCGTATAGAATACACACATAACGCATCTTCGTGCAAAATTTGGTGTCTCTATCTCTTATAGTCTCTGAGATCCAGGTGTTCATACGGACGGACAGACGGACAGACGGACAGACGGACAGACGGACAGACAGACAGACAGGGCTAGATCGACTCGTCTCGTCATGCTGATCAAGAATATATATACTTTGTGGGGTCTGCCACGCCTCCTTCTGCCTGTTACATTTTTCAGCTCCCGCAAACCTAATATACTCTTGTACATTTCATGTACAGAGTATAAAAACGATCTCGAACTCAACTTATAATTATAGTCGCCCGACTGCAGTAACCTGCACACACACACAGATACTTACACACACACACACACACACATGCGTTAATCTGCAGCCCAAAACCCTTTCGGGCACCCAGGAGTGAGTTGCGCAGCATCTGAGATTATAGTCGTAGCTATTAAAATCTAGCATAATCATCACTTGTACTGACTGCCTTGGCCGCACTCGACCACTCGAGAGATTAAACTTGCTTCGTAGACCAGGCCTGTGTCCGTCCGTCCGGCCGTCCGCTGATCAGCAGCAGCAAAAGCAGCAGCGTCTTACAAAATTGTACGCAACCTCGGCCCAGCTCGGCGACGTCTTGTATATATTTATGTATATAATTTTCTTGATTAATATCTATGAGATTTACACATTACAGTGCATGTAAGCGAGTGAATGAGTGCGCACCATTAATCTGAAAGGTTTGCTAATTTTACAGAGCATTTTTTTCAGTCTAGTTATGGCCAAGAAGGACAGCACCGCACTGCACAGCACAGGACAGGTATGAATGTCCACTAATGAAGTTTTATGGCTGTTGCTGCTTCAGGTGCGTTCGGCTCTGCTCGGCTCGGTTACGCCTTTGTGGTCGGTTGGGGCTGTATGTAATTTAATTGGAATTGCTAAGTTCTGATAATTTATAGCCGTTTTAAATTAATGGTAAAGCCCCAAAGCGAAATTTTGCAAACAAAATGTTCTGAGCACTAAATATTTTTAAATTATATTGTTAGCTTTTGTGACACTGTTTACTGTCTTTGGCTTATGTATTGGTATTAGCACTACTATCAAGAGTGTCATATCTCTAGTTCATAATTAAATATATATATATATTTTTTAATTAATTGTATATTCTTTATTTACGTTGTTTGAAACTGAATTTGCAGCTAATTAAGTTATACTTTAAGCCTAGACTGTCCTACAAATTTCGACTTTATGGGATATAAAAACTATTTTGGTTTAACAGTATTTTCCATTATTTTGAAGAAAATTAGTTCGTTTTTTAAATAATTACCCCATTTGTGTGGTGGATGTGTGGAATTTATAAGAAATCATTACAAAGTAGGTCCTTTACCTCTGACTAAAAGTGGACACAGTTGTACTAGGTTTTCATATCAATTTTCCCATTTTTTGTCTTCTTTAGCTTTAATTTCGAAGTTAATTTTACGCCAATTGTGGGTTGAATTTTTGGCCGAGGTAAATTTTATTTTTTTTTATTCAATTTGCACTTCCCAAGATTGTGTATGGATTTCCTTTCCTAAAAAGAAAACCCTATTCTAAAGCTTTAAAATATGGAAAAATATTACTCGCTTTTTTATCCTCGGACATTGTTTAAGCGAGAAGATCTCGACTATACTATATATCAAATTTGAATCCAATTGAAAGCAAGTCGATTGAATTTATTCGAAATATGTTAAATAATCATGCAGGTTCTGGTAAAGATCCATAAAAAATTCCACTATAAGTTTTATAACAGAAAATATGACTGCTACTGTTTAGATAAAACTTAACTGCGCTTTAATAGACTGTAGACTTTTACTAATAAATATAAGGCAAGTAAATGCTCATACCACTGACTTCGTACTTCCCTAAAGTTAAAACACAAATATTTGAAGCTGTGGGTAGCTTCACTTAATGCTAAACTAATGATCTAATCTGGCTGAATTTGAATTTAGTTTTGAGCCATGGCGATCGCTTAATATTATTTACTGTAAAATTGGGATTTATTCTGTTATTCTATTAACATCTACCCACGCGATGATTTTATAACAAGTTGAAACTGAATTCTATTGAGCCAAGAAATGTCTCCATCATTGCATCTTATAAATAATTTAATAGGCAGAAACGTATTTTTCCATCAAAACTGATGAATTTCAGACAAAAACATGGCTAGCTGAACGTTAAAGGCACAGCATGGCTATAGAAACGCGTGCCAAATAAAAAGGGCGTGTCAGTATATTGCCTCAATATCGTCGAGCTCTGGACTTGCCACGGCGGATGCAGCCATAACAGACGACTCAAAATGTTGTCTTTTATGGTAACCAATTGTCATTTTTTTGTTTTTGAACAATTGGAAGTGTGTTGGTCTATTGTTTAAAGAAACACTTAAACGCTTTTAATTTGTATTATAATAATTAATTTTATTGCATTAATTGATGATGATGCCGCGGCTCCGGCTGGTGCATAAAATGAAACCCACCCAGAAAAACGGAACGTAATAAATTTTGATGTGGCTATTCTTATGCTAAAATGGCCAACAAAATATATACATATATATGCAGCCAGACGGACTATAATTGCCTATAAACAAACAATGAAAGTCAAAACTGAATCAAATGTGGCTCCCCGATCGCTTGGATTTTGGATTTGGATGGTCAAGCCAAGCCAAGCCAAGCTTGAGCCAATGGCTTCATAGAACCACAGCGAATGGGAAACCAAAACTAAAATAACAACAGCTAAGCATAAAAATGAAAAACGAGACTGTGGGAGCGCGGGAGGCGTTTTTTGAAGCAAAAAAAAAACTAAAAAAAAAAAACATTTAAACGAAATCAGAAGAAAATAAGCAACAACACAGATGATGATGACGATGCTGCTGCCGCTGCTGCTACCACTGCTGCTCAGATTTAGATGGCAATGGAAGATGCCCAACCAAAACTGAAGCACTCGCCGCCGACGACGATGATGCTGAATGCTGATGACGACGAACCCAACTGAAGCGAACGGCCGGCCCATACAGAAGCTTGCGGCAATTGCGTTTCCTCTTTGGACACACGTTCTGAACAATTAAAGCGCGCGGCAAGCCAAGACTTGGCCAAGACACAGCGTTGGCCAGAGCCGAAAAAAAACCGGATTAAAATTGAGCACGAGAGAGTGTGGGGCCGTTGCTTGGTACGCTGTTGTGTGTTGGGCTACAAGTGAACTGGTTTACGGCTGCTGGCAAGCGATAAAAAATCAACAGAGAAGAAATCCAACAGCAACAACAACAACAACAATCCACAAGCATTCCAAGCTTAAACCAAAAAAAAAGCAACGCAACGCAACCAACAAGCGAGCGAGCGGGCGAACAGAGCCACAGAGCCAAGCTATGCTCCAAGTCTAGCGAGCGCCAGTGTGTGGTGGGACAAAGCCGAAAAATATTGTACCAAAACGGTTTTGATGGTATAACAAGTAAATTCCATACTGATCTTCAAAATGGAGAAAAATTCAAAAGCGACTCCAGTTTGGCTTTATATTTTTAAGAAATTAAGATTTTTAAAATTCTAAATGGTCAGATTCCATCGATTTTCGACCAAAGTTTGTTTATTATTTGTTCATTGTCTTCAATCTTTTTTTTTTTAAGTTTTTTTTAAGAATATTTAAAATAATAAGCTTTAATCATCTCAGCGAAGCTATAGTGCTTTATCGAGAATAGTATCTCAATAATTTTAGGAAACTGAGATGTTACAGAAAAGTAACATTAAAAAGAAAAGTAATCAAACACCATTAAAATCTGAAAAGTTTAAGGCAATCACTAATTTTACTAATTTTACTCTGCTAGTACGTCGGAAAAATGATAAATGTGACGATCTAGTACTCAACTGAAGTAGATGTTGCCGCTGAAAAAGCTCTGTAGTATATATAGAAATTGTATATAGTTTAGTATGATAACAGATACTATAATAAACACTGATGATTACAGATTCAGTCTCTGGAAATCGTATATATATAAAAGAAATAATGTTTACAGCCTATAAACGAGTTGGAACACACGTGATTCAGATTTGAGCTTATAAAAACCTCTATATTTGTTATGTAGGAAGTTTATATAGACAAGTATGATCATAATATACAACTCTTGATAAGATCTACAATCCAGGAGACTTAGATCCAATCTATCTATGTACATAGAAAAACAAATGCATATAGACTCTTATGAGTCTCTGAAAATTCTCTGTTTACTACGAACATAAGACTTAAAAGTGATATTGAAATGGAATCAAATGCAATATTTTCTGTGTGCCAATTTGATAGAGTTTTAGCCCACGGTGCGGCTGGACAAATGAACTGCCAGCTAGCCAGCTATCCAGCTAGCTAGCCAGTCAGTCAATGGGACGGTGAGACTGTCTGCCGTGTGCGGCACCACACTGTGTTCGGTGGCAATGACAGTGGCACATGCAGTTGTAGTGGAAGCCGCAGCGGCAGTCAGCCGTCGCAGCAGCAGCAGCGGTGGCGGCCAGCAGTGGAGGAGCCTCCAACGTTGCGGTTGCTCGCCACCACCACATCGATACGAATATACACTTTGGTCTGTGTGTGTGTGTGCTGGCTTGGAGCAGGTTTTTCAGTCAGCAAAATTTTTTTTTGTTATTTACTTTAAGTTCTTACTCGTCGCTTGACGTCGCTCTCTCTCTCTCTCTCATTCTCTCACTTGGAGTGTACACTCGTTGGTTAAGAGACTCGTTACATTTTTCTTAACATTGCTTTTGGCCATAGCGCAAAAAAAACAACAAAAATAAGAAACAAAATATAAGAAAAAGAAAATAATTAGCTAGCCCTAAACTACTGCGGAATTTTTGTGGTTTGCCAGTGACTTGGAGCAGGGCGTGTGTGTGTGTGTGTGTAAGTGTGTGTATGAGAGTATGTTTGGGGTAGGGCCTTACCTCTAGCAATTTTTTGATGTGGCCAAAACGCGCCTGGGGCCTGAATGCTGTGCAGGTTTTGGCAGTTGCTTTAAATGCTGGGCGAGTATCCGTAATGCTGGCGAGTTTTGTTGGCAATATACATATGCATATATTTTTATAAGTTTCCCAAATTTTTCCTGGATTTATAAGCTTTATTATAGCTTTGATATGCTTGGCATGTTTGTTAGATTTTGTTGGCACTTCTTTTACACTTAGTTTTCATTTTGTTTATCATTTATGTTTACGAATTTTGTTTATCTAAAATTTATAATTAAATTATTATTATTTTGGTTGGTAAATCAAAGTACATAGCTTGTACCATATTTTCTTATTATTATCAGCAGAGCCGTAATAATTTTGAAAAATATAAAAACACGCACGCACTAACAAACCAACCCACACACTCATACATACAATAGTTAGACATACAGGCACTCCAATCACGGCACGATCAGTAGCCAGCGGTCGCGGGTGTTACGGTTCGCTGCAGCGGCGGCACCAGCAGTAGTACCAGCGGCAGCAGCGGCAGCAGTTGCTACCACAAACCACGTAGAAACGACGAGCAAAACCACGTACAAACGAGTCGAATGCTAGAGTCGCGCGCATCCGACCTCTATATACCCTACACCCAACGGATTTGATATTAATATTTTGTTTTCAATAGTAACCTTTTTTTTTTTTTATTTACAAGTATTATCGTTCTAAATTTCAAGTCACATCAGAAGTTGTAATTAACGTATTTAGCGGTTGGGTGCATTGGAAAACACACAAAAAACACAAACCCGTACTTTATCGCACTTAGAAGTACCTGCATATTAAGTTTGGTAACTCTAGATTTTATACTTTCGCAGAAATTTCCGTTCATACAGACAGGCAAATGAACGACTTGTCTTTTTCTTATTGATCGAAAATATCTACACTTTTTGCGATCTGTCACGCCTCCTTTTGGCTGTTACACTAACTGAACGATCTCATAATTCCCCTTTTTACCCTTCGGGTAGAGGGTACAAAAACCAGAGCCGCCAGCCAAAAGCAGCGCAAACGATCGACGTCAACAAAAACAACAAGTACAACTTTAACTACAAACCGAGCGAACGCACAAACGAACGAACGAATGAACGAGATACGGCAGCTGAAATGTGTTTTTCTACATTTTGTTTGAAATAGGAGCTGAAGCCAGTGCAGCTACCAATTCGCTCCTCAAGTAGTCCCAAACTCTTCCCACACACAGACGACTACGACGCCGCGCCACATTGAAAAACGCTTTTCAGTCCAGAGACGACGTTGCACGCAACGTAACAAGTTCAAATACAAATGCACTCGCTTTGTTGTATCTCTGTATATATAAAGATACTCTTACACACACACACAGATACACACACACACACACGCTTACACGTACACTCTGAAGAAGGCAGTAAATTGGCCAACGTTGCGCGCGCAGGTGCGTTAGCTACGATCAACTCTCGAAGACTAATCCACCGAGCATTACGACGTTTGTCTCGACCGCCTCGTCGACGTTGTTGTGGCCCGAAACGCAAACTGAGAGCGAGTGAGCGTCAATGAACGGCGACGAGTATCGGTAGCGACAACGACAACAACAACGACGACGAGGAGCGAAACCAGCCAAGTAAGAAACCTCTCCTCTGCAGTCCGCAGTGCACCGCACTTCTCCTCGCTCGTCAATCAGCCAACCTCTGCCAACAAACCAACCAGCCAGCCAACAACCAACCAACCAACCAACTAACCGAACGCCAGTCGCACGCTTGGTCGGACGGAATGGACAATCGGACGGATATACGGAACGTGCATACGTACGACGAGTTATTGTCAGTTAGAGCGCTACCTGTTTACCGACTGCTTACTGTTTTGAGGGTAGACCGAAGCGCTTGGGTTGCCAGACTGCTTGGTCATGGCGGTTGCTTGTGTGGGGGTTAAGTCCAGTGGCAGTTTGGAGTGCGGGAAGGGGGTTATATACAAATGCATAGTATATGAGTATAGGGAAAAGGGCACTGACTTTTATGAGCGGTGTCAGGTGTTACATTGGGTATGCAATATGGGAAAGATGGGTTCAATTGGAAAAGATTAGAAAGATACAAATAATAGCTAACTTACTCAAAAAATTGTGGTTTTTCTAATTTTGTCGAATTCCGCTTCTAATCTATAAGCTGATCTAATAGAACCACCCTCACCCGATATAGAATTTATCAATTTTTGTTATACACATACTCTTTATTCAATCCCAAAGAAGAACGAAGAGAGAAAGAATGCTTTCGAAAGGCTTTGAAAATGTCATCCAGTAAAGAAAATCAGTTATCCTTTCCGCACCATATATGCCTCTCTATAATTAGCTCTCTTTCCAAAAAATCGAATGTTAGTATATTTTCTAAAAAATAAGTTAAACCTTAAAAACGAACAGTATTATTGCATAGCAGAATATATTCGAAATAGTTTTCTGTCAAATGCATTTTAAAATGCAAAAATCACCTAGTTGATAATTTTGGTATTACTTTCTATTCCACTGTCGAAAAGCAACAACTTTTGCAGGCCTACAAAAAGATTATAATGGAAGTCTGGCAATGTATTGAAAATATTGCAACAACTGTCTTAACTGTCTGTAATAGATAATAAGGTTCACATTTTCCTCACCTTTCCTTTCCAATTTTCCTATAGAAAAACAGGCCCCAACTACATGTCGAAAAACAACGAATGAAGTTTATTTTGTATTCCTTTTTAGAGTAAACAGGCTAACTTGGAAGCTTGTCACTTAAAAAATTAAGATTTTTCTTGCCCGTTTTCTCCTTTTAGGAGCTAGAATTTGATTTTAATATTTATTAAGATTTACACTTCAATTAAATGATTTGCCAGTTTGGTTATTAGGCAATATTTCGCTCAACTATTAGCTCTTCTACTTGTGTATACACCTAATTCTGTTTTTCCACGGTCTTAATTTACAAGGTTTTGATTTAACACGGTTTGAAAATTAATAATATATGGTAGCACGACTTTATTCTTTTATACGGGTTTTTTACACGACTTTTTCTGGAACCAATCTGTGTAAAAATAGAATTACAAGTAGGTGTATATATATTTTTCCATAAGCAATATCTCCCATCCGAAGCACAACTTTCTGGCAACTCCGAATCACGGCAAAGGTATGCGACTGCTAAGAGGCAAAAAACAGATTCAGGGTCTAAACTGTTGAGTCTGTGGCCAAGAGAGAGGCGTTTTGTAATGATCATCATAATGATCATCGGCAGCAAAGTGCTGATGATGATAATGATGATGATGGACGCACGGGCAACAGTAGTTACCCACCAACTGTTTCAATGGCAGAGAAAACCCAAAGAAATTGACAAAAGGCTGCAAACCGAGCAAGAGATAATTAAGCAGCATCGGCCTCACCAGCCTTACCCTCGGACTAATGGCCGAGTCGAGTCGACTCGAGTCGAGAATCGGTCGGTGGACGGCAGGGGCCGTCAACAGGCGGGCATTTTCGTTTACGTTTTTGTGCACAGTGGAACTAAATTGTTTTTGTAGCTGCCGTTGACTACAAACGTGGCCCAAGCTGAAATAGGAGAAAGACGACAGAGATGAGGAAAAAAAGAAAAAGAAAAGAAAGAAAAAAAAACGGTAGCAGTCTCATAGGGCGAGCGAATTGTTATGCTAGTCGTTGACTTCTCCGACCGGCTGCCGTGTGCATATTTTGCAGCGCTTTACGATTTTAAATAAATTACTTGAAAACAGTGTAAAACATGTGGCCAAGAGAGGGGCAGGTAGTGTTGTCTGGCTGACTCGCTGGCTGGCTGGCTGGCTGGCTGGCTAGGTAGATGGATGCATGCTGTTGGCAGTTTTGCCTTACTTGGCGGACTTGACAGGTTCATTGATCGCATTTGAAATGCTTCGTTGACTAACTGACTGACTGACTGACTGACTGATTGGACCAGCGCATGAGTGCAGGAGTGAGTGACTGGATTTTGATGAGCCTGCAACAGACAGGTAGATGGCTCGCTGGATTGTGCCTAATACTTATTAATGATGTTTAGATGCACCCGAAGCTGTCAGCGACTCAAAGGCACAGAAACACACACACAAACATTGCATTTGTCTTTTCTTCATGGTATATATTATTTATTTAATAATTAAAGCTCTTATTTAGTTTTATGGGGTTTTCATCTTTCGCTTCTTTTTCTTCTTCTTCATTTTCACTGATAACTTACAACATAAGATGGTGTGTGTGTGTTGTTGTTGTGTTTTAATTATGAATATTGAATATACGTTTATATACGTTTCTTCTTATTTATTTAAAAATATAAAATGTGTTTGTGTAAATGTGTGTGTGTGTGGGTGTGGACTTAAAAAAAGGTTCAAGCTAAAAATTGTTGTTGCCGATCCAAAAAAACGAAATCAGCATTTAAAGACTATATATGTATATGTATGTATATACGGGTATATATATGTATATATGTATGTATATATACTATTGTATGCGTGTATATTATACATATAAACAAAGTAACTACTGGATTCTGAAGTAATGCATTATGCTTATTATTGTAAATATATGTACATATAAGTTGTTGGCAATCGACAATCGATCTACTCTCGTACATACTTAAAAATGAATCGCAAAAATTCAACCTATCAAAAAAACTAACTAGCTAGCAAAGCTTGATCATGACAAAAATATGTTTGACTTTCAATTAATATCATTTGCATTCAATGAAGTAGTGGCATGTTCTATAAAAAGCTATATGCATGTACTCGTATGTATAATATGTATAATAATTGTGTCTAACTAATAAACCTTGTTTTATTTGTATTTAATATTTTCCAATAAGGACGAAAACCGTTGTCACTCATGTACAAATTATGCACATTAATTTTGTTAGCTTGTTTGTATTTTGATTACAAAATTATTATTGCGTAACTAATAAAGCAGCCAGAGGTTATGCCTGTGGCAGCTTTTGCCTAACAGTGTATTAACTGATTGATCAGCAATTCTAACTTAAGTTAAATATAAAATAATTTAAATTCTTTTAGCCATTTGCGAAACTTCATGCTGTGTTGTGTGTAGTTAGAGTTTTCCTTTTATACATTTTGTTAAATTGTTCTTTGGGGGGAATTTAATGCTGATAAGTTTGAATTTTGTTATTATCCGTAAACAGTAATTTTAATCTGATATAATTTCTAGAATTTCTAAACATATTTTCATTATTTCAATATCGCTGTGTTGGTTGGTCAGATAATGCATTCATATTCTAAATTTCTCCCTAAACTCGCTCTAGACTAAAACAATCCAGCATGCTGCTTATTGTATGTATGCCAAAAAATAAGTTGATTCTTCAATGTTGTTTGTTTGCTGCTAATTAGTTTAGATTCAACTGCATTGTAAATATCTCATTCCACACATCCTAGACAATTATCTAAAAATTTGCAGTGCCTTAGAGCCATTGAATACCCATTAAGTCGAATTTAGTCTACCAAAGGTCCTCCCTATATACACACACACCACAACTTTAGTCTGTTGCACAATTTCCTTTTTACGCCGCATGTGATATATATTCTGTCTTCTCCTATATATATATATCTATATACTTGTATGTGTATATATATATATAATATGACAACCTCACTAAAGTTTATATATATATACTATATGTATGTATAGGCTACAATATAATGTAACAAGAATACACAGCAATTCTAATTGTGCGTGCACCTCTTAGGTTCATATTTTTGTAATTCATTTTCAAAATAGTTAAACCCGATTTGACCTTGACTTTGACTGACTGCCTAAATTCCTTGCCTTTGTATGTGTGTACGTTATGTATATATATACTCGTATGTAGTTAGCTTAGTATCTAAACACTATATAGACTAGTTGGTTGTTTTTGGTTTTGTTTTATACTATTTGGTAGTACCCGTACTAGTGCCATATCCCAGCCACAACTAATCCATGAAATAGCTAAAACTTCGCCGCTTGCGTCGGCTGGTCAGTGCCGATGTCGAGCGTGTTTTTAACCTTAGTTACCCAGATTTGATCCAGCGATCAATCGAATATTCCAATGCGGAAATCCAACTGTAAAGCGATTATAAATTATAGATGTCATGAAATATACAAATATAGTTCTATATATTCTACTTACCGCTTCTTATCCATTTCATTTTCGGTGCAAAAATAATAATGACGTAATTTCGATTCTGGTGGTATTATCTCAAAAGAGTTCTTCTTGCCCGACGCATTTGTGGACATCGAGGCCACTTTATAGCCATGTAAACAGGCCATGCCTAGGTGGTTGTGGTGGTGGTGCAAGAAATTACAAATTAATTAGCTGTCGCATTGCTCTGGCGCTCGACATGACTCACCGAATGCACTCTTGCTATTCGCATCTTGATAAAAATAGAGGCAGGCATCCTTAAGTACACAATAGCGTTTCGACCAACCGCACCACCTTGAGCCCAATTTCAGCAAATAGCCAAAGCAATCGGGTCGCACAATGCTTGCTGGGCTCTGATAGAGGCAACGGGCGCTGCGGAAGAGTTTTGAAAACATTTAGCGATCGTTGACATGGTGGAAGACAAAACCAAACAGATGCTCTAATGAACCTAAAAAGTTTCGTAATTCTAATAATAAATTGTTATAATACGCGCAATGATTTCGCTTCCAATACTCTATTATATAGTGCTTTTGGAAAACCTTTGACTCAAAAAAAGAAACTAGTATTTTGAAAAAACTTTTTTGAAATTAGGGTTTTTAAAAAATTGTATTAAGAGAATAAATAGCTGATACCCAAATCAAAAGGAACTTAAAAATGTTAGCAAAATAAGTGGAACCTAACTTCCAGCTTTTTTAGAAACCTTCTCAAATGTTGTCGAATTGAAAAAACAGGTACTTGTCCTTAAAAACGTTTGACTTAAATAAAATTTCACTGAATAAATATTTGAAATTATAATAATATAATATAATATAATTATAATATAATGCTGAAATGGAAAAACGGGTAATTGTCCTTAAAAACGTTTGACTTAAGTAAAATCTCACTGATTTAATATTTGAAATTACAATATAAAGACTGCATATTTTTAAAATTTCCTCAGAATCTCTGAAAATTACATAAAAGTCATGAGTCATTTCTCATTTTGTTGTAGGTTGTATAAAAAATCACTTGGTTTATTAGGATTAATGGTACTGCTGTTTTAATTTTCGAATATCCCTAGACAACATTAAAATGTATTTCAAAAGTAGATTCAATTAAGTTCAAACAATAATTGACACCCTAATATATGTATATTCGAAAAATTTAATGGAAATATCCAAGAGCTATCTAAGAAATTTTAACAAAATTTTCGAAAGCAAGCAAATATTTCCCTCACCTCTTGTCCAACCACTGATTGTCCTGTGTGGCCGCCTGTCGTAATAGCTGCAGCCATCTATTCAGTAGCTCATCAGAATCTGCCGCCACATACATTGGTATGCCCTCTCCAGAGTCCACCTTGAATGCAAATGGCTTGCCTATGTCCAAAGGACACGTTTCGACCGTATGTTTGGCCATAATCATGGCGCCCACGGGCTGTGTGTCCTGCAAGGAAGTAATGATAACTCTTGGAACTACTTAGAATTTTATGACACTTACACTTTCCGTCTTATAGTAGTAGAGACAATTATCCGGTCGTAGCGAGAACCAACGTCGCACCCATTTCTTAGCATTTGGTGCGCCCTTCGCTTGACCGCTCTGTCGCCATAGATAGCCACTATAAATGGGCTGACTGGGCGGATCCAATTGTTCGTGCATCAATACGCCTATGGTGCGCGCCACTTGCAGCTCCAAAGTTTCACAGCCATCGTGCGCTATTTTGACCACCTCTGTGTGATGTTTGTCCAGCACCTGTACGCCATTTACCGATATAATAATGTCCCCCACCTCTAGACCCGAACTCTCAGCAGGAGTTTCGGGCTCAATGGCGGCCACAACCACCGGCTTGGAGCCGTGTATGCGAAAACCGAACTCCCCCGAATCACTCTTAACCACAACAGTTTTGTCCACGCCTGTGTAGATAAATAAATTAAATATATATATTCAGAATTATTTGTATGTATTTTTGATTTGTGTGCTTTTATTTCTGGACACTATTACCGTGCGCGCCATTGCTGAGCGTCGATATCACAAAACTCTCGCGGGCCCATACTAACAGCATTAGTTTTAACACCTCCTCCAATTTTCGACGCACCGAATCCGGCGTAGAATTAGACGCTATCAATTCTATGAAAGCATTTTAGCGAAAGATAATTTAGCGTGCGCATCACATATGTGATATTATTTGTTTACCCACCAATCATTTAATCTATGAATTGTGTAAACAGTAAGTAGATTTCTGAAATAAGCAAACCAGATGCTGTCGTTGCCTTGAACGCACGAGCGTTTCTGAATGGAACTCAAATGTTTTTTGCACTTTTACGTTTCACGTTTGATAATAGAGCACATGTCGGAGAAGCTCTGCATATATGTAGTAGTACTGTGGGTCGGCATAGAACAAAGCAAGCACAGCAACTATTTTCGATAACACACCGCGGACTACCAAGAACAACAGAATAGTTTTTCTATGCCAAGTGCCGCGCCGTGTCGTGCCGGTTGTGTAAAAATCGGAGCGCCGCCACCGGCTATAATCTAGAGGAGCGTTCACATACTACCACAAAAGCTCTCGTTCTCAGCAAATTGACGCGCACGTTGAGGCCAAAATTAGAAAATTGTTTGCCTCTCTCTACAGGGTGTATTTTTAGGAAGAAGGCTAACGGTACTCACGGAAACTGTTGTGCTTCTGGCGATGATACATTTCCAAAGTGCAACGACGCTGCACCAAGCGATGCAAAATCACTTGATACTTGGCATGGAAGCCCTTTTCCGATTCTGTGGAAGCACGACGCTCACGAGACCGATCTATGAGACACGAGAAGAAAGGGTGTTTCGTTGAAGGTAATATGTTTTCATTCATGCACAAAGCGATTGATCTACGTAATTAACTAAACAATATTTTGCACTGTTAATACAGTAGTTTAGGGGAAAATTATTTTCAAAAAAAAATCTGTAAGATTGTAATTAGTTCTTTTAAGCCTTGAGCATTAAAAGAGTATCTCTAAAATTTTACATGTTGGTGCCAAAGCTACCAGTCGTCGGGGTCGTAATCTGCAACTTAAAGCGTTCCAAAACTCGTTCGCAATTCTAACACAGAACCACTAGAAACCCACTTGGGAATACTAGTCCATTTTGATTTTAAGATTCTATAAAACTAAACTACAACAACTATTTAAGCAAGACTGATTGGCTTTACATTTTTCCCTTTCCCTGAGTATGTACAATTATCTTTCACTTGAAAGAGTATAGTTTTAAATTCTCGTCTTCTTCAGCTTACCAAAGCACTGATGATCCAATTGGGTCCAAAGATCATCATCCGTCAAACGTGTATACCGACCAGCATCGTAGTGGCCCTTATAGATTATATGTTGGCTCTGTTCCGTATTAATATCAGGCAGGACACAGGGACTGGAACCAGCAGGGCGTAAAATTTGTGTATTTGGAAGACTAGGTGCACGTCCACGTTCCTCGCTCTACAACAGACAAGACAATTATTGGCTAATACTTTACATAAACCAATAAAGAATCCTACTTTGGCGCGAATGTTCTCCTGTCGCGTCTTGTAATGCCGTCCACGCTCTCCATGATAACGCTCCTCAGAACGAAAACGTTTGTCCATTTTCTTATACAATCTCTGCGTGGTCTTTGTGGTGACTGGCGAGTCAGCGAAATCAGAGGGTGGCTTTACAATGTCCGCTTCTTGTTCTATATAGGGTATAGACTCGACCGAATCACCGGCTAGCTCGCTCACAGTATTGTGTTGCTTTCCCTCCATTTCCTTGCCGCAGTGCAAGCAATGTCCGAGCTCGGTGCTGGCTGCGTTGCCATCGGCCTCGCTGTAGAAAACGGAATCTGAGCCCGGAGAGACCGAGCGTAATGACTCAACGGATTTTGTTTTTAGCTGACACACCTCCGAGGCGGACTTGGCGTGAATTGTGGTCGTAACTGGAGATACGCTCGTTGCCGGTAGCTTGGGCGATAACAAAGCAGTGGGTGTGGGCAAGCTTTGTGGCTTTTTAATTGGGACAGCTGGCAAGGGGGGCTCTGGTTGTGTGCCCGCAGATGAGGCTGAAGCGCTGGTAGTTGTTGTTGTAACCGGTCCAGCCGCCACTGAGCTTACTGCTGGGGCTGGTGTTGAGATCATGCTTGCATCCAGCAAGAGTTCAGTATCGCCACTTCCACTGCTCAGACCGTAGATAATAGGAGTGGCACGTGCCCGTCTAGCCGAGGCTGCTGCCAACACATCCTCGCGTGAACTTTTGCGAAATTGTCGTCGTATTTTTGGACGGAAACGTTTAATTTTGCTGGGACTTCCAGTGCTGCCATCCTGAGCACTAACGGCCAGTTGTTCGGGCGAGAGAGCTTTGGCTGCAGTGGATTTCTTAATTGGACTAGTCAGTGCGCGCATGTTTTCCTTCTCTATGTCCAGTTTCATGCTGGTCTTGCGACGCTTACGTTCGTCCTCTTGCCGCAATCTTCTTGCCTTACAAGTGGGCGTCACGTGCTCCTCATCATCGTCATCATGTGGACTCTCATAGTAGCCGGAGGATGAGTAACGCACCTCACTGCGCTCATCCTCCGATATTGACTCGGGTTTGATTTTCTGCATTAATTGTTGTGCTGGTATTGCCTCTTGTGTCGTAACTTTTAACGGAACCGCTGCCGCAGTGCTTGGAACAGTTTGTGATTCGACTTCCTTGGGTGGAGACTTAATTGCTTGGCCAGAGACATGACAGCTACCCGAAGAGGTGCTGCTGATAGAGTGCGAGGGCGATTTCTTTTGCAGTTCGGCCACAGATCCCATTGGAGATTTCAATTGACTATTTTTCGCTGCCTGCATTGATGGTTGTTGTTGCTTATCGTCAGGTTGCAAGGTGTCCTCATTAAGGAGATCACCGCGCATGGAATACAACGAACTAGCGCTTTCGAACGAAGAGCCCGCGTGTGTTTTCTCCAGCTGTGAGCTTTGTGTGGACACTACGAGAATCGCAAAGAGAGGTGCAGTTAGTAACACACTAAATTATTAATAGATAAACTAGACAGCTAAAGCGTATCGGGCAAGGCTTTCGTCAAGCAACAACAACAAATACCAAATGGCTATATGGGTAACTAGAGAGCGATAGGTAGTAGCAGTGTATTGTAGGCTTGTCTGTAGTGAATGATCTATGCGTGTACGAGTATAGTAGAGATGAACTAGGCTAGACGCTAGGGTTGCAGAGAGGGTGAGCTAAAGCTGCAAGCATATTGAGCGATCAATGATCTTGGGTGAGAGACCACACAGTGAGTTTTGTTTGTTTGATTGTTTTTGCTTTTTTGACCAGGCAGCTTGTGACGGGGCACGCACACGTATACAACGTTATTACACAGAACATACACAATTATAACACGTAAGTTGTTTAGATGGTAGTTTATATGACAACACTACACGCACAATACATAAAGCCCAAACCTGGTACTTGTGTCGTTGACGATGAACTTGTCGTGGTCGGCGGAGTCTTAATACCTGGTGTACGTTTCGAGGTGTCCGTGCAGGTGGCATACTCATCTGTATTTGTGCTACATTCGGATATATCGGCGCTACGAGCATAGTCTGTGACTGGCGGAAAGAACGAGGCACCTGCGTCAGAGTGCCTGTAGAAAGAACGAATAGAGATCAACTTAGTTGAGCATAGCACAGTTTATAGCTGTGGATTCAAAGAATGTATGGATATCCAGACGTACCGCTGTTTCTGTGCCCCTGCCACATACATTAATTGCCGCGCATCTGGCACAGAACTCCTGGCAACCATGGTTCGTTTGGGCAGTGGCGAGCAAATCAAATCCTGTGTATTGCTACTGGAAGGCGTTACAGCTATAGCTGGTGTAATAACTGGTAGAACGGGCTGCATGGGCTTAGACATTCGTTCCAAAGGTGTCGTGGGTGTCTTCGTGATCTTAGGCAGCGTTTGCATGGCATAGGTAGGGCTCTATTTCAATTACCAAGTACATTATTTTAGTATTTAGGCAAGTTCGTAGTCTACCCACCTGCTCCTCAAAGTCTAAAGCATCTGTGTCAACGGAACTTCGCTGTTGATGTTGCAAAAGCAAATTTTTGCGTTTCGACGATGGTGTCAGCAGTAAGTTGGAGCTGTAGGAGCCGTCGGATATGTCACGCTGCTCGGCTGTTAGCACCGTTACTTGGGACTCATTCCAAATGCCATCGGAATGATCGCGTGTGGTGTCATTGGCCAGCGAGTCTGAGGATGGATAAGTTGAAGCATTGGCTAGCAAGAGCTCATCGCGGCAGGGACTAGCTGGCGTAGAAGGAAGCCGGACTGCCGGTTGCCGCTCATGCGTGGAAACCGCCGCTGTTGCCACATAATCATCATCCAGGCTGACTGAGCGCTTGCGGAATTGGGTTCGCTTGTCAACTGTAGGCTCCGGTGGAGATGGGAGCTGTGGCGGCTGGGGCTCTAACTTACAGCTGCAGGGCGTTATGTTCTCATACAGAGGCTCTTCGTCTAAGCCGGCATCATCATCTTCATCGGGCTGGGCTTCCATGTCACCCACAATTGGCTCATTTGATTGCTCCTGCTCTAAATCATCTTCGTCTTCGTCGTCATCATCGCTCAACATGACTGGCGCATGCTCAACTTTTCTAACCTCAACATCGACTGGCAGTGGCATCGGTTTGGGTAGCGTTAGAGCTGCTGCCTGTGCCTGACGCTGTTGCTGCATCTTACGCATGGCAATCTCTGCCTTATGCTGCTTGCGGTGCTTCAATTGCATCTTTGGACTGGGCTTGGGCGATACGTGCGGCTTGAAATCTATAAAGATTTCGTGCTCATCATCACGCGTATCATCCGCAAATGAGCTGACCTTGTCGCGACGTCGGAATGAGCTGCGTGGTCCGAAGCCATCGATGAGTTTCTCGGTCTGTCCATAGACAGGCATTGACTGTCTTCGTATGTCGTCACGTCTAAAAGGTGTTTCCTCCATCGGCAGCATGGACATGCGTCGATTCTGCGTTGGCACCTGCTGCTGCAGCTGCTCTGCCACACAAACCTCTGAGCTATAGCTTTCCGTTTCGTGTGCACGCACATCCTCCTCCTCCTCATCGTCGTAGTATTCCTCCTCATCGTCATCGTTCTTGCAATATTCGCTCGGCGGTGGCAACAAATGTGGACGTGTAAAGTCCAGTGGCACACTGTCCGTCATAAGTTCAGCGCACTCCGTGATGTGCTTACAGACATCGTGAGTGTGCAGGGCGTCCGAGTGTCGTGGCAAGCTATTGGAATAGTAATCTGTCTCGGTTCGCGCATGGGAGGTGCACGAACGACGTGGCAAGCTATTGCTCTCATAGTCGAAGGATTCATTCAAAGCTATGGCCGCTGCATTCACATATTCCGCACTCTGATCAGCACGCGTTTGCATATTCCTGCCACGACTTAAGTGTTCCATGCCAAGGCCGTAGCTGTCAGCATCCAGCAAAGGAGGTGGTGGCTTGTAGTACATGATATTATTCTGTGCATCCGATATAGTTTGCAGGGGCGTCACATCCTGCGACTGGGTGCGATAGATGATCTCGTGGACGTATGGCGCACTGGCAAGTAGGTGAAGTTAATTCAATAATGGGATCAATTATTATTGGTTATTGTAACTCACCCTTGCTGATAGGCGCCCATAAGATGCATATCCTTGCCATTGGGTATTTCCGAAAGACTCTTGGTTAGCTTTTTGCCATTTTGCAGGCCATTTGTCTGAGCGCCCTGCGAGACGACCTTAATGCGATGTGGCGGACGTGGACTGAGGGCTAGAACCTGTGTATTGTAACCCTCACGACGGGCTACCTCCGTTTGGGTGGCCTGGGTTTTCATAGCATTGCGAAACTTTTTCTCCACAATCAACACTTCAGGGCTTAGGGGTTGGGGTAAAGGTTGCGGTATAACTGCCAGCGTGGGCAAACCCAAGCTCAGCATGTTGTCTGTAAATTGGAGAGATTATGGTTTGAGTGAATATCATGTGTAATAAATTAATCAAAAGAATTTATGGTATGCTTTTAATAATTATGGACTTTGAAAGTTTTAAGTTGCCAGCTTAAATCGCTGCCTATGTTATAAATAAATTACTTCTAATTTAAAGATTTAAGGGTAGGCGTGGCAAGCAAAAGTCTCTGAAGATGTATGATCTAATGTTGGCATCATTAGATATATACATATTTTTTGAAAATTTGTGTATTATTGAAAACCTATATTTGTTATTAGGGTAGGTAATTAGAATTAAAGTTTGAGATTTCATTGCGACTATTAAGCTTTATATACATGTAGATTTGAATAGAATATAGTTGCGGCTAAAAGAGCGTTATTAACCAAACGCTGATTTAATATAGTCGTATATATCTGAAATGATTCAAGACTATTGCTCAAATATCTACCCCTAAGGTAAGCCATTCAGATAACCCTTCTCCTGAAATGCAGATTAAAAAGAATATGTGGTGTGGATATGTAATTAGAATTAAAGCTTAAGATTTGGTTGCGACTAAAAGAGCTTCATTAACCCAACGCTGACTCGTCTATATCTGAAATGATCCAAGACTATTGCTCAAATATCTACCCCTAAGGTAAGCCATTCAGATAATCCTTCTCCAGAAGTGCAGATTAAAAAGAATATGTGGTGTGGATATGGAATTAAAGTTTGAGATTTCGATGCGACTATTAAGCTTTATATACATGTAGGAACATTAACCAAACGCTGATTTAATATACTCGTCTATATCTGAAATGATTCAAGACTATTGCTCAAATATCTACCCCTAAGGTAAGCCATTCAGATAACCCTTGCAGATTAAAAAGGAAATTTGGTGTGGAATGGTAACCACTTGCCTGGCAGTTGCTGATGCAGATGTATGGGCGCGTGGTGGTGCTGATGCGTGTGGGTTAGACAGGCTTGGACCGGCGTTGGCTGCGGTTGGTGCTGGACATGCAACCAAGTCTTGGGCAGGGTGGCGCTTTGCTGCGTCAATGGGGGCAGTGTCTCGTACATGGAGCCGGTGGCTATAATTGGCTTCTTTCCGCCAATCAAACGCTCCTGACTGCTTGCCGTTTTCAAGCGACCCGAAGAACGGAATCCGGCATTAACATTGTCGAAGCTGGTGAGTGTGTGGGAGCGTGCAAAGCTCACGTGTTTGGTTCTGAAAAGTCGAAGGGCGGTTTACGTTTATGAATTTGTGGTTGCGGTTTTGCTGGTGTCTGCATTAAATACCTGGGATGTGTGCCCTGCTGCTGTTGTTGTTGTTGCTGTTGCTGTTGCTGAAGTTGTTGTTGGTGGTGGTGGTGTTGCTGTTGCGGTGGTATTGCTGCATAAGTGGGGCAGTGATACGAGCTGTGAAATAGAATTGGGTAGCATTGTTAAGTCCATGTAATTAGATTAAAGCCAAACTAAAACTAACATTTCTCTTTGGTCACGTGCAGACACATAACAGAAAAAAAAACATTTTTATTTTAGTTGCGCATTTTTTGAATTTCTTTTTAGACACTTGGATTAGTTTAATTTGCATTTGATTGTTTTGTTTTTTTGTATTAAGGATATTCTTATTTTAATTTACATACCAAACATTTATATTAGCGATTTGATTGGTGTGTGGTGGTGTAGGTTTTGGAGCGCAAAGCTCGACATAATAATTCCGGAGCAAAACATCCTGGTAAAAGGATTCAAGTGGTGCTGTACAACAAGTTGCCCTTTACACATATTGATTAAGTATACGATTTTTTTGGTTTTGTTTTTGGTTGTTGTTGGTTTTCAATATTTAATTATTGTAGTTTTTTTTTTTTTTAGGAGGAAGGAAGGTGAATGAATAACGAAAATATACGAAAAGTTTTACAGCATTTGACACTCGATAGAGGTTAATATTTATAGTTGTTGTGGTTGTTGTTGGTTTCGGTTTAATAAAATTGTGTGGGAGAGAAGAAAGAACGAGCGAGAGAATTCAGAGACAGAGAGGAAGAAGAGAAAGAGCGAGCAGTGGATGTTGTACGACTGTTAGCTTGAAAGCAATAAGCGGGAATATTTGGCACAATGCAATGATACAGGCTTGTTGTTGTTGTTGTTGTTGTTGCTTTTGTTGTTGTGTTGAAGCATATACTGCAAGCATTTACATATACATACGTATATACACAAACAGATATAGATATGGTTGTGACTACAATATGTGCGATAGTTAGGCATAGTTTAGTTTAGTTGGTTAGTTTAGTTTAGTATAAGCATCATGACTAGCGATAGTTGGCGGCATAGCATACAAGTATTTATATTGAAAATCGCAAAGCGTTTTTGGACATATTTGGATATCGAATATAGGGACTACTGCTGGCCTAGTTCATCAACTCTCACATACCTCTGTTCCGCATTGCTTAGCATTGTGTTATCCAATTGGCTTGAAGCAGGCACTGGAGTAGGATTGTTGTTCACCTGCGCCTGCTGTCCTATCCAGGTGTAGCGTCCACCCAAATCAGGTTCGCTAGCCTTGCCGGTGCTTAAGATCGAAGCCGGTTGACGGCGAAAATAGGAACTATCCAATTCGTTTGTGTCAGTGTAGTTGTTTTGATAGCTAAAACGAAAGATTTATTTCTATAATAGAATTATAGATTAACAAATCACGTATACGCACCGTGGATACTTTTCGAATGGCGCATAGGTGGCCAAATTTTCATCTGAGGGCACACGTCGGCCCACACAGCCGCCCAGAAAACTTTGCTGGGCTCCACCGCGTCGCGAAAGGCAACCAAAGAAGCGTTCACGTCGTGGCCGCTGCTCTATGCTATGCAACTGACGATCCGTTAGGCAGTACTAGGGTGGAGAAAAATTAAAAAAGTTTTTAGTAGATACGAGTATTTGTAGTTAGTGATATGCTTACCTGTTCCCTTATATCGCCACGCGAGTAGACGGAAGTTCGTGGATATAGCTCTGTGGAAAGCGTGTGACGCAGACGTCGACGACTCGTATGCTCATCCTCAGAGTCATAGCTGCGATCCATGTGGCTTGAATAGGTGGGCTTAATCGGGCAGAGAAAAAAATTATGGTCATTAATAGCAATTGCATTTACAGTATTTATAAAAGGCAGTATTAGAAGATCCGTATTCTGCACTTTAATCTGTAATAACTGTTAAATTCAAATAATCATCTATTCATGTTATAACTAACTATCGATCATAAGATTATCTTTCTTATGTATTTCAGAAGATACGGATAGGCATTCTGCACTTCCGTTGCTCTAATCTGTAATAACTGTTAAATTCATAATTAATCATCATCTAATCATATTATAACTAACTATCGATCACAAGCTAATCTTTCTCTGTAAGAACACTTATAGTTGTCAACAAACAACATCCATTCGTATTCCCTATAAATATCGATTAGAATCCTATTTACAAAAATTATATAAATATCAGTTTAATAAAAATCTTGTAGAATTAAAAGTTTTGGGTTTAACAAAATAATTTGTATACAAATTTGTTTTAAAGGTATTTTAAGAAGACTTTGAAAGCTGAATCCCAAGGAAGTGTTTTTAGCAGAAAAGTATAATTATTAATTAAAGTAATATTATATTCATGAAATGCTCGACAAATTATTTGACAAACTGATCAAAACTTTAGACATTTCTTTTCACTTTGCTAGCATACATATTTGATGAAACTATTTCAAATCAGTTTCTAAGTAATATTATTAAGTCAAAGTTAATCTAATTCGGGTTAAACTAACATCATTTTATCCTTTCACTTTACTTTACATGTTCTTTGTATAAGTTAGCTATAAAATAAACCTATAGTCTCTCATACTACTTATATAAGGCTGACAGATGGCTCAGTATTGAATAGTTTTTTAATTTAAGAAGTAGCTTTAGTTACATATAAATACGCTTTTTCTTAGAATAATTCATTTAAGCAACACATTCATCTTTTAAATATAACGTAGCAGTTAAGCTGTTATATAAGAAAATGTCATTTTGGTGCAAGGTTTGAAATTGGATATATACTTTAAAAGACTGCAGCTAAATTTTCAAGAATGTCTCTACCTCGACTGCGAATTCTATCTATTTAAGAAAGTGAAAATTCCTAAATTAGAACAGTCTATAATATGGCTTCTGCCACATTAGTTAGATAACACAAATTTGTATGCTGCTGACTTGCTACTTGACTAGCACAAATATGCTCTCCATTCATATGAACCTTGACCTTTATCGGTATTTTTCTGCCACCTACACAACAAACTTTCATAATCACTTCCTGAGCCACTACTACAAACGAAATGGATATGTGCTACAACAGCAACTGTTCCACAGATAGTTTCTATGTCAGCGCATCCTCGCTCCATGAGCATGCTGGTGGTGTTACAAACCTTGGAGGAGACCTCAATATTGCCCAGTGAGACGGCATGATGTAAACCTGCGAATGAAATGTGTGTTTTTAGTACAGAACTCAACGCAACGCAACACAACACAAATACAAAACATACGCAGCAAATGATTCACAATAAGTAAAAGTTGCACACACACAAAGGCTACACATACACACACACACACACACACACACACACACATACATATATATAGTCGTGTATATATACACACACATGCATATGTGAGCATGCAGCGACATGTGTGAGATTATGTGTCTTTGACCTGTCATGTTAGTGACAAGGCAACAAATGCTCGCTCGCTCCAAACACATTTACTGCTCTGCTCAAGGACTTACCAGTGGTGGTGCCAGTGGCGATGCCAGTCGTCGTGGTAGTAGCGCCACTGCCTCTTAGGGCAATATCCATTTTAGTCAGAGCAAGCACTCACTCAGGCACACACACACACACACGCACACGCACACATACAAAAGTTGCACAAAGAAGCGATTTCTTTCGATTCGTTTTTTCTCTGTTGTTGCTGTTGCTGTTGTCGCGTTTATATAAACTTCGTTGTTGTTGCCTTTAATGCTATTGCTGTTGCTATTGCTTTTACTACTTTTGTTACAGTTGTCAATGGTCGTCGGGCTTCAGATTCAGATTCATTCGAATGCTTACGCCTTCCATTACATGCTCATCGCTCTCCCATCAACATCATTCGATTAAAATAATTAAAATTTAAATTCTATGTGTTTCGTTGTCTTTTTTGCATTTGGGCGTAAATTTGTTTCTGTACTGTGTGTGTGTGTGTGTGCGCGTGTTGCTGCATTCTGCAGCACGTTTATCTTCTATGTACAGTATATGTATATATGTACATATCCATATATATATGTATAACTTGGTACTGCTGCTGCTGTATACTAATCCTGGACTTATGCAAGGCCAGCAATCGATATTCGTGTTGCCCAAAACAGTCAGCCAAGAAGAAAAACGCGTGCTTATTCTTATTAGTTTTTGTTCAGCACTTTTTCCGCTGCAGCCTTTTAGGCGCTGCTTTGCAAATTTGCTGCTCTGTCATATTATTATTTGTAACTTGCTGCTGCCACTTCCTGTGTCGCTGCTGGCGCTGGCTAATGCTGCTTTTTATGTAACTTTAATTATTTATAAAACGTTAAAACTGCGTGCGTTGGCTGCTTTTTTTTTTCGCGTCCTGTGCTGATGCTGCCCTTTTGTATACACGTTTGTATGTGTGTGTGCGTGTGTGCTTCTGTCTGTCTGTTGGTCCGTTCCACAGAACGTTGCCTTCGTCAACGTTTTCGTAGTTGTTGTTGCTATTCTGCTGCTCTTGTTGTTCTGTGTTCTGTGTGGCCGTAACGCGCGCGTGTTATTTTTTACGCTCTATGCCACCACCGTGCGCTGTGGCGTTGATGCTGGAACTAAACTGAACAGCAAATTTGGTTACAAGCTCAAACGCATTGCAGGAGCTCCCTAACGATAAACATTTCTGAAAAAAAAAAATATACAACGGATGCTGCGTAAGAGCAAGACAGAGAGAAGGAGAGAGAGCGAGAGTAAGTGAGTTAGTGAGTGAGCGTAAGCGTGTTAAGGGAGTGCCAAGCGTAAAGAGTAGTGCGTTAAGAGTAACTGGAAACAGAGCCAAACACAAAACATCTGTTTCGCAAACAACTGTCAGCTTGACAGCTTGAATAAGCGCAACAACAATGATGAAGGAATGCGAACGCCTGGAAGTAGGCAACGCAAATATGCGTGTTACATATATACAATTTATTAAACTAGTTTTCTACTACCAATATGGCAGCTTAAGCTAGTTGAAAGTTAGGGAATACAAAAGTTGTCTATAGTAAGCATCTATAGGACGCACTTATATCTATGTACATATATACAATATTTACAATGTTTTACATGAAAAATGATTATATTTTATGATATATACTATGTATTTTATACAAGGGCTCTTGTGGGGAGATCCTTTGGATGGCACTTCTTCAGTCTTCTCTTCTTAGGTTTGGACAGGAGCCGCCTCGCTAGTGCGTTGGGGTGACTGCCGAGTCAAATATGCGTGTGCGTGCTGACGCCTTTACTGCTCTGCTGCTGCTTACGTGTTGAGCATGCTATGCGCATGACGACGCCGACGCCAACGCCAACGCCAACGCCGTGTTGACAGCTTGCCCATAGAAGCCTCAACATGCCATTACACACGAACCGAACTCGATGCAAGACACGTAGCCATGGCTGAGGGAAAGTTAGCAGCCAACAGCCAACAGCAGCTAGCAGCTACTTTTCACTTACAGTACATACAAGTGTACGAGCTTGCCGTGCGGCAGTTTTCACGCCGATGCCGTAGCCGCAGTCGCACATAATAACAACTGCAACAACAACATCAGCAACAGCTCCAAATACGTTGCTTAAAGCAGAGCCCCAGTTTGCTTGCTGGCCATACAGTGGGAAGTACATGAATAGGTACAGCACTGTTTCAGTTTAATTAGCAGATCAACATTAGGTCTGAATCGAATTAAGTAAACAATTCTAAAAAATTGTATTTGATTAATAATTATTCAAACAAGTTAATAAATAAATCAAATATTAAATTATTATTCTACATTCTTGATGTTTTCAAATATTAATAAGCATTACATAAATGGAAACCAAAACTATTGGTCCATCGAAAATAAATAAGCTATCGAGAATTTCCAAATAATTTCGATATCAAATTCTAGTTGGTTATCGTGATTGATTTTATGCATTTTTACAATGTATGTGTTATTGCAGTTCTTTGAACTATAAATTAAATTCAAAAATTAACTATCTATAGAATTGTATTGAAACAATTATATATTATTAGTGGCATGGTCATAGTAAAGTATTATAAGTATACATATATACATATATATGTAGTAGCATTACGTTGAAAATTATAAAGGTCTCAAAATTGAATCATATATTAAATTTTGCTATCAGATAGTAAGAAGCTATTACGTTTCTAATTTTATAAGGACAGATTGTATTGGCTGGATCACTTATGCTCATCCATGCACTAAGGCCTTAAAGGAATGATTTGGCGTCATATAAGCACTTCTTTTTTTTAAAAAGACCCGCCTTCAGACAGTCCGCATTATTGACGAATTCAGCTTTTTTTTATGGTCCAAAGACTAGGTTTCTCCGAGAAATTGATCAGGTGGGATTGCCCTAGAGCATCATCTCATTTCTACAGCTTTTCCGGAAAGCGAAGAGGAATAATATAACTAGTAAAGCAATCGAAGAGGCATTGAAAATATAAATATATAATACAAAATATTCCAGGTCGAAGTGGGAATCTATAAACTTATAATAATTGTATAGTATTTGTATATAGCATGAAAACAAACATCATTTCTAATATTATGACCTATTTCTATATACATACTACTACTTACTGTGGCAAGCAGCGTTCTTATTGTCTATTAATTTTTGTGGAAATGACAGCAACGACAACTTCATATTAATTAAAATCACTGGCCTCCGTACCAGGAATTAATGTTATACCTATTTAAGTGTTTGCTGCTGTATATATTTGTGTGTGCATGTACGGGTGTATGTGTGTGGGTGTGATAGCCACCCCGAATGAAAACAATATACACAACAATAGTTTCCGTTGCTGTTGTTTGTTTAGTTTCTGGGGGTCTGCTATGTACTTCCACACACATACAAGTACACCCCACATACATACATATATGTATGTGTTTATGTTTGTGCACACACACACACACACACATGGACAGAGGCCTTTATATTGAGCAGCAAATTGTCTTATGCCTTTTAGCTGGCTTTCGGCTGGGCTTACTTTGTAAATATTCAGAGCTTAAATGCTTTGCCCAAGTCAATATCAGCAAATATTAAGCATACGCACAGTGTGCCAGCATAATGCGAAATAAGTGAACGTTGGCGTTGACGTTGCTATTGCTCTTGCTATTGCTGCTGTTGTTGTCGTTGTCGCTTCAACTGCTACTCTAGTCGATTATTTACAGTCTAGGCACGTCGTAATGCCCCTTCTGTGCCATCAACATCATCATCTTCATATTTCGTTCGTTGCGGTTATAAAACGCATAATTTTGCATGCCTTCTCATACAAATGATTTTGAAGTTGTCGGCTATATACGAGTAGACCCTCATAGAACTTTTTAATCTTGGGCATTAAATTTTCTGCAAATTGACGCTTTATGCTAATTCCATTAATTAATAAATGAAATATGACAAGCAGTGTTAAAGTTTGTCCCTTTAATGCACACACACTTGTTTATTAATTTCTAGCACGTAATAAATTAAAGTTTATAGGGCACAAAAAAAGGAGAGACGGGCACAAAAAAAAGTAACGTGGGAGCCGAAAAACCCAGACAAGCCCAAATCCCCTGTTGCTGTGGCAGTAGTTGCTCAGTTGTGGTTGGCACGTTTGTTCGGCACAATTGGCTGGGTTATCGAGCATCCATCAAGGGTTAATGTTGGAGCTTAACATTTTGTGGCGGCATTTAATTTCACTTGATAGGACATTTTGTGTATTCTGGGAGAAGGTCGGAGTTCAGTTGGCGGATTTTCCATTAGCCCCCAGGCTCGTTAAATGAAATAGTTATGGCATTGAGTTGTTTGCTCGTTTCTTTGTTTGTTTGTTCGTTTATTTGTGAAGAATTGATTTAGTTTCTTGTTTTTCATACTATTACTAAGTATTAACATTTATGGCTAAACTACTAATGATAAAGAGTTACAAATTCATATGAAAGTACATTTATATAGTATATATATTTATTTATAATTTATATTTAACTTCTTTTCTATTCAAGTTTCTTGCGACATTGTCGCTTAGTTGCAAATTTTCAATATCTACTTGTAATTTGCTTTCATGCTGCTGATGCATCATCGTCTGCTGCTGATGCTGAGCTGCTGCTGGTTCTGCTGCCTCAGGGGAAATTTGATTTAGCTACGCTTGTACATTAAGTTTTAGTCTAGGTTGACAAAGTGAAATAGTAGTAGGTAGTAAGTAGTAGGTAAAATGTTGTTGTTGAAATGGCTGAACATGTAGATATGCATAGAAGATGATGTGTTTGTATGTCTGTTGAGTGTGTGTGTGCGTGTGCGTGTGTGTAGATGTTTTCTTATGTGGGCTTTTAATATCAATTTACGTTTCATATACTCATATATATGCAAATTTGCGCTTGTCTGAACACAAATGGCGAAAAGTTTAAAGTTTTTGAAAGAATTTCGTTCGTTTATTATTGATAGACTTTCTGTGTGTACTTAGTTTATTTGCATATATTAACGTTTTATTGTATGTGGAGTCAGAGGAAAAACTTTAAATATATATTTTCATACCTTTGCAATGGAATTACGCAAACATTTTATCAATATTACTTTTAAATGCAAGCCAAATTGCTGTTGAATATGAAGTTTGTTTGATTACGTTATTAGAAAATGCAAACCTAAAATCTGTCTTTTTTGAAGCTTCCAAACAATTGAGTAATTGAGAATGCTTACTAAATTAATTATGAAGTGAAGTCTGTAAAAATACCCTTTTTTTATGCAAAACAATTGTTGTAGGTACAACTTTACTTATAGAAATGTATCCAAACTCATTTTATAATTACAATTTATGGAATTGAACAAAAATTTAGAATAAAATATATAAATGTATGGAAAATATAATGAATATGTATAAAAGAATTCCATCAAATATTTTTTATTTGCAATTGGCGGATACGCGTATTAGGGATATTCTCCCTGATCGTAAACAAATGAATATTTTTTGTTCAGATTGGATAGCGGAAACAGCTTTACAATCTCTAAAATAATTACGTATCGGGTAACCATGACCGAATTATATTTTGAAGGTAGATAGATCGGTACTTTTTGATACTTTAACGTTCAGTGAGTGTTTGTATAATCAGCAATTATAGGCTTTGGAACATTGTTTAATTACCAAAACTTCTACCTATATTGTCAATGACTTATATATGAGACAAAAATGGAGAATTTGTATAAACATGCGACGCTATAGTTACCAAAAATTGATACTGCCGTTCTACCATGTATATTGCCATTGACTTATATGTAAAACATATTAATACTATTGATTTAAGGATTTAATTTAAAAAATGCGGACGTGAATTTACAAAAAATGAGTTCTCCCCAGATCGTTGGCTGACATTGCCTTAAAAATCGAAAACAGTCTGTATAATCAGCAATTATAGGCTCTACTTTTAATGACTTGTAAGTCAAAAATAGTAAAGCTATCGATATAATATGAACCATTTATATTGATTCAATACAAAAGTTTTTGCTTTGCATAGATAATTGACGATGACAGTCCAATCTGAACATGCATAAATTATTTACGTATATCTATATAGTTCGGTTTGCAAAGGTATGTTGGCTTCGGAACACCGATGACATGTTTTATAATGTTTTGTAAGTTGTTATGTAATTGTGGACATGAATGGCTGCATCTGAAAGTAGATGTACTTGACTATTTATTGGGTTTTTAAATACCTATTAGTCCTTTTGTTCTTGTCCTCGAGACATACATTTTTAAACACTTATTATAAGTTCTTATTACTTTGCATTGCTTATCAGTGTTTAAGTTCAATTACCATTGTATATTTATCCCAATTAATATTATTATTTTCATTAATTTATCTCACAACAGTTATTTGTGTGCGCATTCGCTTGGCAGTTAATTCGATGCCAATGTCGATTACAATATGATATTAAGTCATTAAATATGCGCGCTTCGAGTAAAAATAAGGCTCGTTCCCACAACGACAAAGGTTGGCAAAGTACTACGTCACTTCATTGAATTTAATTTAATTTTATTTTATTTAAATGCATCTCAATAACGAATGCGTAATTGCAGTTTAAAAATAAAGTACGACAGCGCCGTGCGACACAATTAATTGCCTCGTCTTTATATAAGTATCGGTGGATATATTGTATGCACATGTAAAAATGGACCTTTTGAAGTTTTTTTGTTTTTTTTTTTTTTTGTTGTTGCTGCTATTTGATGGTAAATATGTTTTGTTATGAAAATGTCGTATGGTAGCAAAGGTGATTTAAATACAATTATCTATACTCGTACAATTGTTTAATATGCTGCTTGAGACAAAGATAAAGCTTTTCTTCAGCCGTCGTGTTTTATATTTGTTGCCTTATTTATATAAATAGTATGAGAATGTGAATATGTTTTAACGGCGATTTCGAAATGTTCAAGAGTTTGTTGAAACCGCTCAGCTATTCGTGTGAGTATGTAGGTTTGTGTGATTCAAGGTGGAACATGTTTGGGATTTAAGAAATTCATTAGTTGACATTTTTTGTGTGGTTTCAGTTACAGTTTTACATGCTCTGCTTTTTTGTTTCGTTTTTTGTTTTTTTATTTCTTTTGTGCTACTACAATAACTAACTAACATACGAAAGAGAGACTAGAGAGATCTGACAATTTGAATTCAATTCACGTATCGGTTGTGACGACGACGACGACGACGACGACGACTACTACTACTACAACAATAACGAAAAAGCTTGTAATCATAATAAGAATAACTAAGGAGCCAAGCACCAGGTGGGGGCCATTTCGACAATGGGCGGACAGTCCTCAGACTAGACCGAGGTGGTGATTTGCTCCACAAAATGCACGGGCCGGCACAGCGACTGCGAGCGCTTCAAACGACATTGCGGTGTTCCCTGGCCCCTCAGTGTCTGCTGACAACCGGCCGCCGGTCCAGGAGCCGGCTGGGTGTGTCTATGGGGTGTACGCTGCAGCGAGGCATATGCATGTGGCACGTAGATGAAGTCACGTGAGGGCGCCGTGTGGGGTCGGCAGTTACACTGCTGTGACATGGTTGAGAGGCCCTCGGGCACGCTGCGACTGCGTGAGCTGGCTCCGTAGTTCGAGCTGGGACTGCAGGTGCATATAAGTGGTTGTCTGTCGTTGGACCTGCAAGTGAGGCAGTAGCATAGGTGAAGTGGTTAAAAGTATGTGGCAAGTACAAACATAAATATGCAAGGGTGAGTGCGAGTGAGTGCTTCAATGACGACACAGTACTCGTTTTTTTCACGGCTCTGCTTTCGCACGGTCTGGGCAGTGCAAAAATTTAAATATATATGGAAGTTTGCAGTTTTGTTTTTTCCCACCAATTTAATGTGACAAGTTGGCGAAATGTTTGTTTTCTGCTTCTTTTTAAATTTTAATTAGCCTTCTCATTTCTTTTATTTTCTTTCTAAAATTTCCTTATCTTTAAAGCTTGTCGTTCAATTATTATTTTATTTGAATATTTGATTTACAAAGTTAGAAAACTATTACAGTTTAATGCTTTTGAGTTTTTTATTCAATTAAGATTTTATTATTGTTACAACAAAAATAAATTTTGAAAGAATTTAATAAAAATCAGAGTCTCCAACAAAAAATGTACCTAATAAGAAATCTTATTGGGCACAAAACTTATTTTCATTCACTAAAACATTAGTTAATCTTGTTATTTAACTTTTTTTTATTAAGCAACAAAAAGTAAAATGTTATAAAAGAATTGAATTTAAATTTTTTTAAACAATTCTTTATCTGTAGTATGATTGAAGCAATTGGCGCTGGAAATTCAGAGTTACTTGATTTTAATTTTAACCCAAATTTGTTTAACCATTGACGTTCGCTTCAGAATTTGAATAAATTTGGGTTAAGATTTTGAACAGAAATTAATGTGCCTCTTCTAGGAATAATTAAAATTCACTAATTTTAATAAATTTATGAAAATCCGCACTGAAAACTTGTTTCGTTTGTTGTAATATCCTGTACCCGTAATATCCTTTGAAAGAAACATGCAACACCCCATAAAATATATACTTGTATATGACGAGTGCATCATTTAATTTAAGTCATAGGCGAAATAAATAAATAAACAAATTTTTATTTCCCCGCCTTCCCATGCTACACAATTTTAATACTGCCCACAACTGCAAAGCCTTCATAAATTAACCTTTTTATACGCTAATTATATGCAAAATTCTACCCCTGTTTAAAATTTCATGCAAATCGTTCAATCCTGAAAAAACCGATTATGGAAATAATTTTACGCAACCAAATGGGAGCAGCGGGATTTCTACTCTTTCTATTGACTGTTATTATCGACTGCAAAACTCTATCTTGCTTGAAACTATTATTTATTAGTTGTTGATACACTAATCCATTACAGAAAACCCCTGACTATTATTATAGAGGAATACATAAATTATGAATTAAAGCTTTTAGTTATAAAATGGAATTGAATTCCCAAGCAGCCAACACAGAAGTTTTAAAAAGTGTTGCATACTTTTGTGGCGCAAAATGGCAGCCGGGTATTGTTGGACTGTTGACAAAAATATGACCTATTTTATCAAAATGGAGAGGGGTTGAGTATAAAGGCACCTATTCACAAATTGGCAAAATGCCAAGTATCTTGCACTGGTTTCACACACAGTTGAATATTCGCTTAAAATCTCTTTTTTTTCGAATGCTTAAGGAACGAATGCTTCCCTGACCCTTTTATATGAAATATTAAATAATTGTAATGGAGCTAGTCTACAAATGACAATGTGAGAGTACCCTTGGGGCTTAAGACTGAACAATCACATGCTTTATAACAATGAATGCCCTTTATGTAATTTGTCATATGCCTGGGAATTGTGAATAGTTCAGTCAGCTATCTAAGCGACTTAGAATTTGTGGGGCAGTTAGTAAATACTTTTCATAGTTTTAGCTGAAATTTAAAGACTAATGTAATAGCACATTATGCTATTTTTTATTAAAGCGCTAACAGCTCTATAATTAATATGTGTGACTAGCTCATCATTTAGCTTAAGAGTTTTTTTTTTTTTTTGTGGCTATGCCATGATACTTACTTGGGCGTCTTGTTGCAGCCCAGCTCGTAGGTGCTGTGCCAGCTGCAATACATTTGGCCATCGCAGCAGTTGTGCTGCTGTATGAAGGACAGACTGCGCTGTAATCTCTTGCCCATGCGAGCTCCGATGCTGCCCTGGCCCAGCTGATATTGCTGTCGTACATCAGGGATGTCCAGACTGCGGCAGGCCAACTGTTGCTGGTGTAAGTGCTGTTGCTGTTGTTGGTGTTGATGTTGTTGTTGCAGTTGCAGTTGTTGGTGTTGGTGTCCATGACGCTGGCATGGGCGCACAAATGGCGCCAGCCGTGGACAGTAACTTGCCGGCATTGGCGTGTGTAGGTTGGCGTGGTAGGGGGGCTCCATTTGATTCAGACTTATGCAGCTGCGACTAAGTAAATCAGGCGCTGGATAGTCACCGCACTGACCAGCATAGGGGTAATCCAAATGCATGTGCGGACGATGCTGTCGCGCCGAGGAATGCCGAAGCAATGGTGTGGGTAAATGGCCATTTGCTTGGCCACGCTGCTGTTGGGGCTCACTTATAAAGAAAATTATTATACCGGATATGGCGGCGGCGGCGGAGCAAATGTAGTAGCCGGCGCGTCCATATTTCAGCGAGTAATCGTTGAGGAAGGAGGTGAGCGGAACACTAATGAGCACAGGCACCGATTCAACGCCCCGTATGAAGCCTGTAATTTGAAAGAAAAAAACGAGTTTTGAAAGGCTGTACATAAAGTAAAGTAAATGCATTTGATTCATGTTAGTAAAAGCATTAGACTTACAGCCATTAGCTGTGTGGTCATAAGGGAACTGTCCCTGAGAAATAAGGCACATACATATTCTAATTTGTATATTTGAATGATTTACATAGAACACATAGTGGGAGTATACGGAATTAATTGGGCATCAAACAATGCGATTGGGACTCAAGGCAAATTAATTTACATACATGTTTTTTCTGATCGAATTCTTATTCTTGGTGTTTTTCCAACTACTTGAAAATATTCATTTCACTCCTTAAAAATAATTCTAAGTTCGACCTCTCCAACTACAAAAGACCTGCTTAATTATCTGCCATAATAACTTCTGCTTTGCAGTATATACTTATGTAGATATTTAACCCTCTCTGCGTTTTATGGATTTATAACAAATTATTCAACAACGTCGAGTCGAGTCCTATCTGTGCTGATACATGCCATTTCTGTTTAGTCTTCCTCAAATACAAATAGAATGGGTTTAGCTGTTTATGATATCTTAAAATTCATGCTAGCTGTGGGAATATGACATTCAGTAACTACTAAGAATAGTTTTTTTGTGTAAGTGTGAGGAAATTAAACTGTGCATTACTTACCCCAGGCCTTGGAAAAATGTTTCAGCTTTATGCGCTCCAATGCCAAAATCTTCAAAGAGTATTGAAAACCGCCCAACCCAATGCCATAAATCCAGCTCAATATACAGAGACCCGTATAGCCCATGACGAACGATAGGAAGAGTATGGCCAAAGCCACAATCGATATAAAAAGCTGTGAATTGAAGGTGCAAAAAAAAGAAAAACTGCATAAATTTCAATTTTTTAACTTAGATTAAAATTTGCGCCAATTTTATAATTTTGAAGTAATCAGAAATTATTGTCGCACTTACCTGCGCCACAATTTTCGTATTTATTACAAAATGCCTAATCACAAAGGAGCGGCGCAACAAGGCTCCAGCCAGCACCACTCCCAAGGCCATCGAGATGCCCAGGAATGTTTGTAACAACACCAACTCCTGCACATCGGAGCCCTCTTTGGCAGCGTTCAAGGCCTGTAAGCAGAAAATATCTCGGAGCAATAAGAAAACGAGATGCCATGGGAAATGAGCTGGAAAGACTTGCCATTAAAAACATGGGCGTGTAGATGCCGAAGGAGGCCACACTGGAGGTCATTAATAAAATTTTGACCGTGACCGATTTGAGTGATGATATGTCCAGAAATAAATATTTTGTGGGCGAGTCAACATCGTGTGGTATGATGGGCTTCTTTTCGCGCAGCTACAACAACAATCATTGAGAAGAGACAATGAAAGAATGCATGAATGGGATGGGATTGGATTGGATGGAAACCCTTCAAAACTCACTTTTTTGCGCTGATTCTTCAAGTGCTGGATGGCGCGACGTTGCGGATGATATAGCGATGCCGGTCGATACATGAGGCCCATGAAAAAACTCAGTGCTGTTAATGCGGCCACAATTTGCAAGCCCAAACGCCAGCCCGCCTTGCCCACGCCCTCTTTCAGTATGACAGAGAACAAAGCGATGCCAACGCCCTCGCCGGACATGGCCACCATTTCAACGAATTGACGACGCCGCTTAAAGTAATTGCCAAGCATAACGGTGGAGGCTTCCCGCACCATGGACACCCCAATGCCAAAGACAATGCCTGCACACAAAAAAGTAGTATACGGGAAATATGACGAAGCACTGAGCTCTCTGACAACGGCAACAACTGTGCAGATTTTTCTTTGCTTTTCAGCCATGTTTGTGTCTTTTGGTTCGGTACATACCATAACTGAAAACGACCTGACCGAATTCCGTGGCAAATGAGGTAAACAGTATGCCCAGTGGCATGACCAGGCCGCCCACAATCGAGAGCAGGCGTATGGAGCGCTTGCGACACAGCGAGACCACAAATGGTGTAGCCAGCATGGAAATTGACCAGCTTAAGGCGCCCAGCAGCTCTGTGAAAAGCGCATTTTATTTTATATTATATGACAGTCGGACACGCACACAATCACAGTTTGACAGCCATTGCTTACCGATGCCACTGGTGTTGTGCAAATGCTGCACGGCGTAATACACTAGCAGGCCATAGCTGAGCTGCAGTCCTGTGGTTAATATGTGCACAAGGAAGGAGACTCCGCACACAATCCAGCCCCAGCCACCGTCCGGATAAAAGTACTGCAAAGAATGTATTAAAAACTTTCACAGCAAGAGGCGTATTGCAAAACTAGAGTACAATAGGAATCTGTGTGAATTAAATTATGGTTAGGAAATTTAAAAGGCTTCCATGTTTTTAGAAAACCGCAGTTTGTTGAAAATTAAATTATGGTTTTGCTGCAAAATCCATTAAACAGGCGTTCATTAATCAAATAATAAATACAAGTACTATCAACACATGAACAATACTCGTAGTTGCCAAGGAAACCTTTGTGTGTTACGTAATATCAGCATGTTGGCAATGCAGATTTAATTAAACTAACACTGGGGGCAACCATTGTGCAGTCAACTAAGAACTACTGAGGTATGTCCTTGCGCAAAATTTTAGTTAATAATATGGGATGGTCGCGTAAAGATATGGTCATCAAAATTAGAAACTATCTGCGCGAAATTTATGATGGCTAAGCATAAATAATAATTAAAAAAGCAAACTGTTTTAAAAATATACGTAAGATGAAAAAGATGGGCAGCATCATCGTCCTTAATCAGCAGTTATCTTGCACAATAGTTATAATAAATAAATAATAAATAAAACTATAAATATATGGGCATTTATTTTTGGATTACACAGAAGTTTATGCAACAAGAAAAACATTTCAATATAAAATAAAATATTGCAAGACAATCAAAATCTATAAAAGTATTACATTTTAAAAACATATCCATTCCACATAAATAAGACTACGTCGCTATATTGCCTGTCTAGTGGCAAATAAAAGAAAGAAACTTGATTCGGAATGCAGAACAGGTCTTCATATTAAAATGAGAATACCCTCTCCTACACAAATAAAAAAAAATTCAATTAAAAAAATTATTATTATTATTATTTTCTGTATGAGGGTATATTAGGTTTAGAAGAAGTGAAAAATGTAACAGCCAGACTCGTATTTTCGACTCGTATTGCTAATCAAGATTATATATACTTCAGTGTGTAAACAAGTATACCCTTTCGTCCTTTTGGTACAGGGTATAATAAAAATGTTTAAACTATGCTCTGAAGCGAAAACAAATCTGATGGTATGCCATATAAATGAGGAAAAAATGAAAACACTAGTGGGGGGCAACCAAGCTTGATTCTCTGCGTGTTTTTCTCACAAATACCAGAAACGCATAAAAAAGTGCATTGCGTTAATTACGAAAATTGTTGACTTTATAAAGTTGATTTTAATTCGGGGTAATACTTTTTTGAAAGTTGCATAAAATAATGCGATATTACTTTCCTACTTCTAACAATTGCGCGTTTTGAATTAATTAAATCAAAATAATAAATAAAAGGGCTTACTTACAATTTCCCTTCGTGTTTTTTTTTTTATTTTTAAAAAAAGGTGCATCAGAAAAAATATGGTCGCCATTAAATGCGAAAGGTGCACTTTTGCTTTGTTCCGCACAAGTTGACTGATAAGCAACAATTTATATATCTCATTGGTCGGCACTTGTGAGTGATTTGGCAAATTCGGCACTGTTTTCCTTTTTGGAAAATTTCATTTGGCCATGAAAGGAAAGCGCTACAAGGATGACAAAGGGATGCGCCTTTTATGTATTTAAGATACAAGCAACTTTATGCCTTCGCTACAAAATATATGCTAAGGTTTTTTTTTAATAAAATAAACTTAAATATATCAGTTGTCTGTTCTTATTTTCAACAAGTCCTGTTTGGGATGCACCTTTCATGTATTTAAGATACAAGCAACTGTAGGCCTTCGATACAAAAAATATTAATCTTTACATCTAAGATATTTGTTCATCGCTAAGAATGGCATTCAGAATTTATGACAACTTTCTTTTTGCAATTAAATGTAAGAAGCAGGATAAAACATTAAATAGAAAAGCAATCAACTAGCAATCATAAAATATTAAAATTATGACGAGCTTCAATTCCCACAGTGGCTAAGTTAATTGGATTGCTTTACCACATTCCCATTTGACCACAAATCTTAATTTCTTTTGCATTTTATGTTGGCTTTCAGTTAACTATTTTTACTATTTAAAGCCAAAAAGAATTAGCATTTAAGATTTATGCTTAGGCAAAATTAAAACTAATTAATAACTATTTTTATCAAGCACAAACCGCATTAAAACAATCAACAAATAACCATAAAACAATTATAGAAAACTACAAATTTTGCTGTTTTTCCAAACCAAAACAGCTCAATTAATGGCAATTATAATTTTATTGCTTTTGCTGCGCATAAAACTACACTTTATTTGCATTATAGTTTTGTTTTCAGGTAAAAGAAAATGTATTTGTTTATATCAAGATTTGAAAAAAAAAAAAACTAATTTATTTAACATGACAATCTTCTGGAGTTCCAGGAATAACAAAACTAAGGCAGCTCTTCATAATTCAAAAAGCTCTGTTTGCACTAATTATGAAATATAAACCTCATTAAAACGAGCAAATAACCACAAACATTATGAAAACTGGTTTTTGAAAAGCGGAACAGCTAACTTAATAGCAATTAGCATTTTTATTGCTTTTCCGTTTCAAACGCATTCTTCCTTTTGCCCATAAAACCACACTTCATTCGCATTATAGCTTGGCTTTTAGCCAAGCTATTTATCTGTTTACTTCAGCATTTGTCTAGGCATAATGGCCTAAACAATGTGTGTGTGTGTGTGTGTGTGTGTTTGCCCCTCACACACGAAATCGAACAATTCCATTTACTCGTAATTAACCACAAGAGCGTATACAGTTTGAGAGCCATTGTAATGGTAGTTTTGTGTGCCAGGCCTACCTGTCGTATGCGTGTTGTGTCGACGCCAGTTCGCCGCAATGCCGGTATATTGCGATGTAGCAAATGAAACTCTCGATCGGCCAGGGCGGGAAATGCCGAATCCTCCTCGTCAGTGACGTGGGTATCATAGCCTGTCAGGCATTCAAATGAAAATAAGTCGCATGTGATGTTTGAAATTTGGGATTGCAATGCAAACAATTGAGCGTTGATTAAATGGAACGCCACTCATTACTCACCGAAATAGCAGCCCCCACCATTGGCCAATGGCTTGTGACGTGCTGCCGCTACTGACTGCACTGCTGGCACCGGTGGTGGTGGTGGTGCGCTGTGGTGCTGTTGGTGCTGCTGCTGCTGCTGATACCAATTATCGCAAATGCAGAGTTGTGGGGGTGGGTAGTGGGGGGCTGCCAAGGGCGCCGTATTGTACATGCTATAGCAGCAGCCATTTGGATTTGCAGGATACCAGCGGGACGAAGGCGGCGGAGGTGGCGGCTGCTGCTGATGCTGCTGGTGTTGGTGTGCATATGAGTGTGTCTGTGGCTGTGCAACAGCGGCCGCGCAATGTCGACTGCAGAGCGGGGGCGTACGGGCGGCATAAGCCTGCGAATGAAATTGATGCGACTGCTGCTGCTGCTGCTGCGGCGGTGGCTGTGCCGGCGGCGGTGGCTGCTGCTCAATGGTGGGTAATGTGGCGTAGCTGCCAAAATTATCGGCTACTGTGGCACAATGGCGCTTACCGCCATCGAGTGGAAAGCGCGTGGTGGTGGCAGTTGGCGCTGCTATGGCGTGGCAGTGACGGGACTGCGGCTGCTTGTTGCTTGCAGCTGCATGCATTGTCTCTGTCGTTTGGGTGGCAGTCGTTGTTGTAGTTGTTGTTGCTGCTGCTGTTGTTGCGCTTGTTGTATTAGCTGGCTCGCTTGTTGTTGCTGTTGTTGTTGCCGTACACTGCAGACTGAGATTGGAGAGGCGCGGGCATGAGACCCACCAGGCCAATGGCTGATTATTAAAACGACACTCGGCGCACAAATAGCGTTGCGTGCTAAAGCAGGCAGCTTCTGTCAGTGACGCGCTAACCAATTTCTCAGCAGAGTCTGTTGTCGCTGCTGCTGCAGCTGCAGCTGCTGCTGATGTTGTTGTTGTCTGCTTAAGACAGCTAATTGGTGTGGTTTTGGGGCTAGTGGTGCTGGTGGTTGCTGTTGCCGTTGGGGCTATATTCTTGGCCTTGGGATGCTCACAGCTTAGATTGTATCTTCGTCACAGCGCGCATTTGTTGCACAACACTGGACTTCTTTGCTTTGGCCGCACTAAACTGGAGTACAGACGCTGCTGGCAATGCTCCAATAGCTCGGGCCGTGATCGTCTATTCAATGTGAGGGTCTGGTAGGTGTGCTCCAACGGCCGTGGATGTTGTTGTTGTTGTTGTTGTTGTTGTAGTTGATGGAGCTGCTGTAATTGGGGGCAACTGCCGTAGAGCGCTGATGAGGTATTCGATAGTCGGCGATAATACGAATGCTTATCCTCCATATCATCGCCACTGGCCGTGCGTGAGTAATGCGTGCGTGAGTGCTGCTGCTGTTGCTGCTGCTGCTTCTGCAGGCCGTGGCATGTGATGAAGGCGGAGATGGTGTTGCTGGCGTTGCGGGTATTGGCGTCTCTATCACTGCAATTGCAATCACATGTACACTGGATGACCATTGTATTCCGCAAGTATTCAAGTGTCTGAGTGTGTCTGTGTGTGTGTGTTTCTGTTTGTGTGTGTGTGTGTTTCGGTGTCAACCGCGCTTGCCACTTCAATTCAAGCACATTATTTTGTGGGTTTCGCCGCAGCGCAGCTCGCAATGTCGGTCATTTCAGTCAACATTGAAGAGCAGCTTTTATATTTGGCTGGCAGCTGTTGTTGTACTTTTTATTGCTGCTGCAGCTCCCAGAAGGCTTGCCCTCTCTATATAAAATTGATTGGATTTTCGTTTTTGGCACGTTACTGTTGTTGTTCCTATCGTTGTTGGCACTGCAATTGGAACAAATAGAGTAAACTGTGAATTTATAACAAATAAAGCCATCACATAAATTTGTTTATTTTCCCCAGCATTCATGTTCATTTACTATATAACACCACTATATGTTACCATATGTACATAACACATTATGGACGAGTATGTTTGTACATCGATTCAATAATTAGATTTGCAATTCATTTTGCTCGTTGGCTGGCCGAGCAATAAGTGCAAGCGCTTGTCACCTACAGAGCTGTAGAATTGCAGCTTTGACCGTTTAAGCGCTCGGCTTATGGCTTATGCAACTGACAGTTTGGGGTTAGACAAAACAAAGTGTTCGCAACTACATACATACATACATACTACTATATGCATGGAGCTGGAAACAACCAGAGGCTGCCATTTGCAGCAAATGAACGAAAATAAAGCAGAAAGGCTTTTTTTTTTTGGTAAATTTGAAAACATATTTCTGAATTTAGATCGCATGTTTAAGCCATTTCAAAGCAACCAATAGCTCATGGCCAAAATGCATGAATTAGAAATTGCAATCATTTTAGAATTTTTAGAAAATTTGAGGACAACATTTAAATTTATGCTTTAATTTTTAATTTTTGGCCTCTGTGGCTGAAGAATATTAATGACATCCACTACTCTATTTCCACAACTGGAGTGTCTTAAAATTTCTTGGCACAGCTAAAGGATTCCTTAAACTGTATTAAAATGTTTATTCAATTTGTAATATAAAGGGGATTACACGAACATGTTTCTACATCTATATGTAAATACGCCACACATTTTTAAAGTATGTTACCGTTCATCAATATTTATGAAACTTATATTGTTTAAAAGGTATTGCTTGTTGTTCTTTAATTCTGAATTCCCAGGATGATTGAAAAATATGAATTAAAAAGTTACATATATTAAAATCTTTGATTTTCTAGTCACAACATATTAAATTATAATTTAAGTTCAAAAAAATTAATTTATTTTTTGCAACAATTACTTTGCATCTCGATTTCAATAACATTTTAACAGTTTCCGCGTAATTCATTTCCTTGCCTGCTTAAAATTGAATAAGATCGGACAGATGTTAGTTATTCAAGCTATTCCTACTGAGAAGCGACGTTTCTTCTTTTGTCACTAAGACTACAACATTTCACTAAAGTTACATTATACTTATACTTTTAAGCACAAAGTATTATACATGTGTGTATGTCAAATATGAAGTATATTGTTTATATTTGAAATTCATAAAATGTTCTCAATTTTGTTCATTATCATTTTTTTGTACAATGTGTGGCAATTCGCACAGGGTCAATTACAGGAGCGAGCGAAAGTGCTAATTGACGTGATTAGTCAACTTCCAAAAGAAGGAGTTACAAATGAAGAAATGGTGGCATCCGTTACAGCTCTCATAAACAATTTGATCAACGATTATATAGAGACAGAAAGCTTGAGCGGGCAGAGTCGAGAGGATGCCAAAAGAATCCAAGCGGATGTCAAAATCGAGTTACGGGCTTGCGCCCAAGCATTGGCGGCCTCCTATGATAGGAAACAATATAAAGAATGCGCCGCGGAAGTGCTGAGAATGGCTGTCGAGGATCTGGAAAGACTGCATCGAGATATGCAAGCAGGCACCAAATATGTTCAGCCAGTAGTCAGTATTGCTGTGCATATAGCTTTCTATGCATCTATTGTTCCGTTCATTTAATATTGTAATTAAATTCGGAAAGAATACAGTTGGAATCAGGGATCTTATAAAACAATTTGTTGTTGAAGTAGAATTTGTGAGTTTCGAATTGAACTCATAACTCGATCTTAACGCTTTCTTAAGTGCGATACATAATTAAACTACTGATTATGATGAACTTAATATCATTTAAAATTTTAAAAAATATATTGGAATTATAAGCTACAAGTAGATAGAGATTTGGCCCCACTGTGCCGTCGTTTGATTTATGTTGATTAACTATTGCTGCGTTTTTTATGGTATGCCGATATTCTCTTTCAGATTAGCCACAACTTCCAGTTCAGTGATAGATGATGTAACCAAGAACCATAAAAAACTGCAACACTTCACCTACGACCCCCGACAATGCTGCATCATTGCAACTGTGTGCTGCAGCCCCCTCTTTTACTGCCGCCCACCACAATGTGTTGCACATTGCTCCCAGTTGTGTCATCTTGTTGTTGTGCTGCTGTTGTTGTTGTTTTGGCTCTCATGTTCAGGCAAGCAAGCAGCCGCAGCCACGACGACGAAAACTTTACAATGCACAAACGGCGCATTTAAATTGATTGTGAGCATGAAACCGGAAGCGGGCTACAACATCAATCAAAACGCATTGTGCGCCGCTCAATAAGGAGCGGCAGGCAGGCTGGCAGGCAAACAGGCTGGCAGTAAAGCTCAAGTCGGCAGCTGAAGCTATGCAGCTTAAATGTTCCTGCTATACCTGTGGAATCATAAAATTTAACAACATTGCCGGCAAGAACAACAACAGCCAATACATAAAGACATCCGGTGCTTCCTTAATGCTTGAAAAGCACGTGCATTAGTGGGTGTGGGTGTGGGTGTAAGAGTGTATGGATGTGTGAAAATATTATAAAAATTTGCCAGTCGAGCGTGAAGAAGAGAAAAAAAAAATGGAAGCAGAAACAGAAAACTTTTTCTCACAATGCTTTTCAGGCTTTAGCTTGCTGTTGCTTGTGTGTGTATAGGTCGGCAGGCGCTTTCGTTGTTGTTGTTGTTGTTGTAGGGGTGTTTTTCCTTTTCATCATTTTAAAAATACTTTTAACAAACAGTTGCGGGCGTCGAAGTCAACGCCTGGCCACATACCAACCGCAATTTCCCTCACACAATTTCCCCATTTCAATGATATCCTTGTGCTATTTTTGGTTTTGCGCGCAATATTGTGCACGACTTGCCTTCATGAACGCCATTCAGCATGACTACGGTCAGCATTTTCATTATTTAAATGCAGTATTAAAATGTTTACACTCAACAAAATTAATTTTGCGAAATTTAATGTAAGTCACCGACGCTGTGAAAATTGCTGACTAACGAAACATTGAGGGGAACTGGAAAGGGAGGGAATTACCGCCTACATGCCATTCTGTCGCTATTCTCCTACAAGTTTCTGAGTATGTGTGTTCGCGCAGGGCTATATTCGCCAACTTTTGAGTTTTAAAGAACTAGCCGGCTTAAAAATTCTACGCTGGTGGGGGGACTTAGGGGTCACTGTCACTGCCGTCACTGGGCAGACACGCCTCTACACTTGGATAGTTTCTGCAGAAGTTTTGCAGATAAGAAAAAGTCTTCCCAAATGATCTCACAGATATGCCAAAATGATGATGGTTAGCTAAGCTCAATTCATTAGTAACTAACGCTGGTGTCTTAAAGCGTATCAATAAAACCAAGGTGGGTGTATTAGACCATAAAAATGAGGCTCTTCAGGCCGAAGTTTTTCGAGCACCATCGCTCCAACTATCTCAACCTAACCTAACCCAGCTCGCTTGGCATACACATGTTTGCGCCCTATCCTGTAATATTTAACCATTTATTTTATATTTTCGGTTTATACAAAAGCAATCATCAGTTTGAAGCTATTGTAGTATATTAATTAATTTTCATTAAGGTGCATGAGTTGTCCTTTAGATATTTGCAAAAAATAAGTAACAATTGAGAAACGTTTTTTCTAATCGCGCCAAATTCTACAACTTTGGAATTGTGGGAGAGCAAAAAGGGAAATAAACCATCGCTTCAATTTCCAATTTAAATCCGATTTTATTTAGCAAATCCTACGGTTGTTATACAATTTTAAGATTATGTTCTGGTAATTTTCTTATGTACCAAAATTTCACTGTTTTTCTTTTTCCTGTACAATATAAATGGTACATATTCTTATTTTACATATTGCATCTTACTTTGTCCAACTTTTCAATTCTTTTTCCCAATAATAATTATATACTATACATCTTCTACTATGTATATTGCTCTTATGTGTGTCGTAAAACCTTCCTCAACTGTTGGAACTGTTGCACTTGCATATGTACTATTAAAAGCTCAGGAAACTCTATGTTTAATAAATTGAAAAACTATCACTATTGAAAACCATCAATCAGTTCACGATCATTTTATTTTTCAAGTTTCAAACGCACAAATTTCTATACGTTTCTACAAACAAAGGGTTTGTTCATGAAATGAGCTGCAGTGTCCAACATTAAATCCATTGAAGCCATTAAATCACCTCATAACGGGTATTTTAACATCTCCATGATTTGTCTTTGTTGATGGTATTTCTATTCAAACCGGTTATTGCTTCACTATTTATTGTTTTTTCTTTTCGTCCTAAAACTCACTTTTTCAAAAGATGCGAAAACTTAAGCGTAATTGTAATTATAATTATGTTCAATCTCCACTCATCAACGTTCATCAAATAATCAATATCCTCAATTTTTATTTTCTCCATAAATATGTCGTAATCGTCCCAATTTTCTTTCAGTGTATGCATAAAGTGCAAACAGAGACACTCGTTTGTACTATGTACATTTGTACTTATATTGCAATCGTTACATATGACTGATGATGTATTTGCAGAGAGTTCGGAAAACGTGTCGTCTCTGCATTGCGACGTCGAGTTCTACAATCTGGTCGAGAATAAATGGACCAAGCAGGCTCAGGGGGGAACTCCCTCCCCCCTTTCCCGCCACCAAGCCTGCTGGCCATATTTCCATGTGCCCAATGCAAAGCGACAGGCGGTCCGCTCCGGTCCGTCTGGGCGTCTATCCGTTGACTTAACTGGTCGTTGACTTCGTGAACTTTACTGTGCACTAAATTTATATATAACGTGCCATATATGTTTATTTGTAGCTTCGAAAAGGCCAAACTTTTATATGGCACATTTGAGAAGGGGTGTACACATTTGTTGTTTTTTTCTTTTTTCTTTTTTTTTTTTGCTGCTAGTTGGTCAGCTGGTTTACGTTGCTGCTTAAACACACGTGGTCTCGCACAAAAACT